CCGTGGTATCAAGCGTAAGCTCGCGCCTCAGGAAAACACAGATCTGCCACAACCAGAAGAAGGGTTTAAGTGGTTGGACTCTGGCTTTGCACCAAACCAATCCCTATGATTAGCATTATGGTGTTTTGGGGTCTAGATTGGGGCCCCTCTGCCTAAGGGAGACTACCATGTGCCCGTAGTTTGTGCCCGTAGTTTTACCCGTAAAGCCTAAACCCTAAGCAGCTATAGTCCCCGTTAAGTAGAAAGAATATGGAGCATATGGGGATCTTATTATAACATACCCAAAGCCATACTCTATCTACTTAAGGGGGACTATACGTACAAAACAAGAGTTTCAGGCACCGGGTCGCCAATGGACTCTGCGGTCTCATCCCGTGGGAAGTCTACACGAACCCCAATTCATAACTAGCCAAGACATATTGTATGGTATTATATGAATATATCGGATGATATTTATTTGAAGACATTCTGTATATGAAGCTATTTTAAACCACAATAAACATGTCAGTAATGACTAGTTCCTTCAGGCTTTAGCCTGAATCCCTAAACCCTATAACCCATTATAGTAGCTTCCATTTTCTTTTCCATTATCCCCATATAATATATCCCCATTATGCCATAGTAAACCCTTAATCCCTGAAACCCCAAAGTACCCCTAAACCCTAAACCCTGTACCCTGTACCTGGGGCATGAAAGCCGAACCCGCGCCCTTCTTTGCTGCTGAGGCCCATCACTGTGCTGAAGAAGCTCCGAAAGGTGCCTTTAGGGTCATGAGGGATTATATATCGGGCTTATATGGGATTTAGAAAGGGGTTATATATAGGGTTTTATATGCAGGTGCCTGGATTCTACTTGATTTGAGCTGTAACTGCCCAGGCCCCCAAAACTGTTCTTCGGGCATGGGGTGGCTGAAGGGAGCTTTGAGTGCCAGCAGAAACACTTAGGACTATGACTCTATCTCTGATGGTCCCCGAGGATGCCGTGGATAGTATATAGTCCCCCTTAAGTAGATAGAATATGGGGTATATGGGCATCTTATTATAACATACCCAAAGCCATATCCTATCTACTTAAAGGGACGATACACCAAACATCTTTTCCAAGTCTTTACCCCTAGATAACACATCTCAGAGTCTGGGATTGCACTTTGAAGCATCATACCAGCTATAGTTTAAACTCCTTAAAGGGGGGTATATAGGGGGTAATATAGGGGAATACTATAGGGGTTATTAAGGGGGATACTAGGAGTTTAGACAATGGCTCATACCAACTTCTCGGCATGAACCCAGGAAGTGAGTCACAAGACTGCTAAGTGTTTGGGCAGCCCCCAGGCCACTGAAATGCGGGCTTAACTTATTTAGCATATCATACTAGGAGTTTCGAAGGATTGCAAGTGTCTAAGGATTCTAAGCGCATTGCCCTCTCACCAATATTATGGTTCCATTTTAGGGATAATGGAAAATAGAATGGAAACTACGGGGTTATGTTAGGGTTATTTTTCCCATGTGACTCAAATCTCATCGCGAAGCCACGCAACAGGCAAAGCGTGAGACTGCCTATGGTGAGAAACCCGAGGCAGGCCCTTGGGTGCTATTTAGGGTTTAGGGTTTAGCGGGCTGCAACTACTGGAACTGTCTTACGTGGGGGGGGGGGTGATATGAGAGCAACGCCAATGGAAGATGTACAATCTTCGAGAATCCATTTGGGGGTAGTTTGAACTGGGATGATATGCAGGGCAGCCGTAGGTTTTACTTGATCAAAGCGAAATTTGGGGTTCTGATTATCTCCTTACTTATTGGTACCCCAAACCCCAACCCTACACTCGATAACCTTTCCATGATTACCTATGAACCTACAACAAGCAGTGCGTCGGGTCATTGCGGTGAAGTCGTGTGCCCGCACTTGCAAAGCTAGGATTCAGAGTTCGGGGTTGCGAAGTTTGGGTGTACGGCCTCTAGGCTAGGGTAGGGTTCTAGGGCTTCAGGTAAGGATGAGGGCTAGGCTTCGGATGCTTTGATATCCAGCAGAAATCAAGACACCGCAAGGCCGTGAAGACACATCTCCGCAACATGGTCATCGTGCATCTCGGCTCTTCTTGTTCAATGCTTTTCTTTTTTCAAGTTGCTGAAAGGCCTGTTGCGTTCTTATGAGCACCTAAACCCGACATGGAATTCTGTAGTCATCTGTTGCATACTAGTCAAACAAGAGCCCAGATCCACGCAGCTAGGGTATAGGCGTGACCCTAAACTTAGATTTTAGAGCCTAAGCCCTCTTTGCCGACAGAAAAGTCCGAAACGGGTCGAACATATAGCCTAGAATCCCCATATAACCCCTATAAGTCCATAATCCTGTAGTTTCCATTTTCTTTTCCATTATCCCTATATAACTCCTATATCTACCCCTATATAACCCTAACCCCCTATCACCCCTGTAGTTTCCATGTTCTTTTCCATTACCCCTATCTGTTTGTGAACTCGCGGCCAAGTCCGGAGATGATCGGAAGCTTGGACGCATTTCTTTTCCGGGCCCGGTTTTTGCTTATAGTAACAATACAGACTACTAACAATAACAATTATGACTATGCTAGCAATAGTTGTAATCATAAACAATGATAGTAGAGTTGGGTTCAAGCTCTTGGGCTTGTAGGGCTCGGGAATCGATTTGGGTCAAGAGCTTGAACAGCATCGTTAAGTGTCCCAATATATTTCTGACGAGGAGTAGCGATGTTTTGACGGGGTACTGGTAGGGAAGAGTGAGGCATTGCATAGCCTGAGACGATATGAATAACATCCGCAATCCAGGCCAAGACTTCAACGGCAAGGTGGGTTTTAGTCCAGCTTTCAACCCAAACAGTTGCGACTGTCGGTCGGTATCTAGTTCGGGCACGACAGCCTCTTCACCGCATTTGGCACAGTTTCATCATGACTCTGAGGCTCCGTGGTTGGCGTGTACAACGGCAAGCAGCACCTTAGATGATCGAGTGGGATTTCATGTCTCAAACCTTAAGCCTACTTTGGCAATGATGTCAATGAGAGGATGCCTTCCACTGGATTTCGGCGGTTGCGCCGCGTATAATTGTCGTTTGTTTCTTTTCCGCTGCTTCTGTTAATAGTCTCCAGCAGCTGAAATGCATCAGCTAAACGCCGCCTTGCCATCTATGCTTGCCATGTACTCTGCGTAGCAAACTAGCCGTTGAACTTTCAATGTAGTATGACGATTTCGGGCATGCGATTGCAAGATCGGGACGGATATCTTTCAGCCCGCATGAGGGGTGGAGCTTGCACCTCCCTTCCAGCTCAGGTACATCAACGTGGAGATCAAGCCTGCCATAGTCTCAGCACTTATAGGGCCTCATCAGGGAGTGAGAGAGCGGTCCGCTGATGGTTCGTTTTGGGTCTGGTGGTGCTGTTGTTGATGATAGTCACTTCCTACATAATGGTTCATGGATCGTCATGTTTGTCACTTGCCTATGAAGGTACAATCAGGACCGGACCTGGTCCCTGGTGGCTTAAACTAAAGTTACCATAAAGGGTGTATATATATATATAGTATAATGGGGTTTCCCCAATATAGTAGC